TCCGCGCTGGCATGCTTCCTATTAAATTATCAACGTTGTCTTTGCAAGTATGTTGTCCCATTCTGCTAATGCTGCACCAATAAACTGTGCGAGCTTTCCTGGATTATTTCGAGGAGCTCTAACCCTTCTTTTGAGCTGGTCCTACAAGTGTTCGATAGGGTTTAGATCTGGTGAACATGCAGGCCAGTCCAAAACTATTACACCTTCCGTTTCGAGACATTTTCTAGTCACTCTGCTGGTATGGAGAGGTGGACTATCGTGACAAGATAAGTCTAAGTCCAAAGACTAATGATGAACGTTGAAGTTTGTTGAAGTGGTAACCATGGAGTTTTTGCTCCCAGCATAATACCTCCCCAGAACATTACAGTTCTTCTTTTATATCTTGGTACAGATTTGGCAGCCTGGAGTCTCGCTCGTCTTTATGGAGCTCTGAGAACCTGAATTCGATTGTCATCTGATCTTAGGCCAATGCTGGCCTCAAAAAAAGATCATTTTGCCAATTCTCAGTTGTCCAGTTTTGATGTTGAAGACATCAATTTAGCCGGTCAATTGTATTTTGCCGAGAGAACTGTGGGATCCGTAACTCTCTTCTGCTATAAAACCCTCTAACACGAAGCCTCTTTCTTATGGTATCAACTGAAACGTTCACACCTGTAGTTGCCAGAAGTTGTCTTTGTAGCTGTGGATGAGAAACTTTGGGATTTGTTCTAGCAATTTGATACACAAGGTGGTCATGTTTAGTTGTGACTCTTTGACGACTTTGTCTGGGCCTATCCTTTTGTGTTCCTAATTCCAAGTACCTTTCATATGTTTTCGATACAACACCCTGGATAACGCCTACTATCTCTGCTACGTCTCTTTGGCGCATTCCTTCTTTAATGAGAGTATCTGTTAATCCAACATAAGGCATTTTCTTATTTTTTTTGCATCGAATGAAAATTATTGGACTATCGTGATTTTACTACTTAACACAAAATTCAAAAGAAAATAAATCGCAGCAGTCGTTTATTCTTTATTGTCATGTTTAAAAAGCCGTATCTTAAAGTTGTATACCAATTTTTTTTCCTTGCAAGAAATTTAGTCAGAAATAGATTGAATGATTCCATATAAGTTTGGTTGTGTATATATATAAATGTAGTTATTTTTGTGAAAGTTTGGAACACCCTGTGGAATATGTTTAAAAAGCCAGGAATTTGAAAATGACTCATCATCTAGGTGCAACTTTTCTCGATGGTTTGCTTTTTGGTTCATCTCAGTAGCTTTATTTTTTGGGAATATTCGCTTTTGAAGAAGATACTAACATTTTTTCGTATTTTTTACAATATTTACACAAGTAAACCGCGTAAAATAAAGCACTGACGTGAAAATTGCAAATAATTAAAACCGCGTATAGACATGCCGCGTAAAACGAGCTGTATAAACTCTTATTCAATTCCCGTGGTATAGAATTTCTATGAAAAAGCGCAGTTTTTACAAATGTTGACTTAAACAACCATAAATAATAATAAAAAGGATTTCCAACAACTGTCACCGAAAAGGCAATTTATTACAAGGTGCGCTTTGATGCTCGTCAAGAACAAAAGCATTTAATACCTTTTATTAAAAGCGCGGTGCAAAAGTTAACAGAACTTTTTAAAATGAAATGCCGTAATCCGAAAAAGCTCTAAGTTCTTTTAGAGCTTATAAATAAATCTTCGCAAATATACAGAAAGGGGCAATATTTTTAATATTATTGCATAAAAACTCTGGCCAAATGAAGGTATTATAAACATACATATGGCCATATATGTTTTTATAAACGTTAGATGTGTAATGTTTATATACCGGGTGGCGGGTGGTGCATCGTCGTTGAAAACATAGATGCAAAATCCCATGCAAATTTTGAACTGTCCAGATATTGGGTCCTCTGTTAATTTTACCATTTTTTACTACAAAGTTGTAAATAAGTTTTTTTTCTGTGTATTCTGAATACACATGCCAAATTTGAACAATTTTGGACAAACCGATTTTAAGTAATTTAAGAAAAATTGCATCTACTTTTAAATTAAAACAGAACAGGTAACAAAGCAAAACCAGACAAATACCAAGGTACCTTAAGCTGTCATCCTATAATTTTGTCAATGTCAAATTGTATTTTCTAAGCGTTAGGCTTTTGCCTCATTGATATTTGATGGGTTTTGCATTTGTACCTCTTCAGTTTTAATTTAATTTTTAAATATTTAATTTAATTTTGTTTTGTCCAAAATTTTTCAAATTTGGCATGTGTATTCAGCATAGGCAGACCTTTAAAAAACCTATGAACGACTTAGCTGTCAAATTAATAGGGGAGCTAATATTTGGGCAGTTTAAAATTTGAAGGGGATTTTCTGTTTCCAACGACGAAGCACTCACCAGCTTGTGTAATAAAAAACTTGTTTCAATATACGCTGTTGTTTTTTGAAATAACGTAACCCCGCGTACAGCGAGGGACCGCCATATTTTCATTCTATCTCTGCGTCCTCGCTGTGTAACCATTAAACCAAAACACTTTAATTAGAATAATTTCCTTCTCAAACAGCTTTGTCTGAGTGATTACTTAGATTAAATTCTATTGAAATCACATAAAACCAACTAAACGTAAATAAACCAAAAAAGTTTTTTTTAATTTCATTCAAAATACTAAATTCAGTCAAAAAATGTGTTATTTTTTTATTAAAACTGACTGAAAATCGACATATTACTGAGTTGCTTCTGTATGGATCACGTTTCTCGATAAAGGTATCCCCTCTGTTCTAATTTATTTTATATAGGTATATATTACGAACCCCAAGCAACAAGTATACGATTTTTTTCAGAGGGTTGGTTCTTTTTTTGTGTTTTTGTTCATTCCGGTCATAGATACGAAACGTTGCTTTAAAAATTTCATTAGCTGTCTTTAGAAGGGCTTTTCTTTACATAAAAAAAAACGTTATTTTCTTGTTTTCTTGTCTGGGTTGTTACTGTTATATAAAAAACAGAATTGTTTCGCAAAAAGACTGATACTAAACAAGCTCCTTAAAAAAGAATTTTCTTAATGGAAATATTAAAGTTTTCTTAGTATTTATATTAATTTCCTTGCCACAATCATTCAAAACTAGATAAGCCTCTTTTCCTTAAGTTTTCGTCGTAGCTCTTATTGTAGTTCCGAACTTTTTATACACTTTATAAGATTTAAACAGCAAATCCGTACAAATCTGTAGTCTTGGTAACAAATTCTTAAAAGACCCAAAATGTTATGATATGTGAAATCTCTTTTGTCATCTTCCAAGACCATATTGTCCTAAACACTAACTTATAAACTGAAAGATACGTTTTTACGAGGTATAAGAAACAAGCTACTTAAGAGATAACCGCCTATTTTGGAGAGAACAAAGATTATCAAGTTATAACAATGATATTGAATACATGATATAAAAAATATGATATAAATAGAATTGATTTTTTTTATGATTTCCATTTGTTTATCAATAATTTTATTATGTGTTTTTTCTTTTAGAATATCGGTCCAAAAATAAGGCACCGCTCGTGTATATGAAACAAAAATAAAATTTACGTTTTCTACATAACAGTTATGGTTTGAATGACACTTTGATTTTCAAAACATATCATAAATAAATATACGTTACATTAAACCTCATACATTTTATATTTTCTTGGTATATTTTTATCCTCAATAACAAATTTGTGTACTTAACACAGGAAATAAGTAATTCATATTTAGATTAGGGAAAATATTTATTGAAATAAAGCATTCCTAATTATTCAGTTATTTTTATAGGCGTTACCCATCCTTTCCTATCAGAAATAATACAAAAACAAGGGTCCAAAAATTATTGTTTCAGCAAAGCCAAGCTGCCTAACCCATCATACGTGTACATATTCTGAATCTACATAACATTTCCTACAAATGCTGAAACTTTCATAATTTTATTACTATGTTTACTATATTTCTAGGGCCTTTGAACATGTGAGATAAAATAACCAAAAATCTTTTTTTATAAAAAAATGAAAATTGCCGATTTTCTTCAAATCACCGATTTTGTTAACACTACTGTTATTTACTAATTAAAAGGCGTAGAATAAGAAAATTTAGACCACTTTAGTCCTACGCGAACAGTAATAGATATAAGGGACGTTTTAACCACCATCAAAAATAGACCAAAAACAAGGGTTCAAAAAATACATTTTCTCAAACATATGGTAAATAAATATACGTACATTAAACCTAATACATTTTATATTTTCTTGGAATATTTTAATCAACAATAACTTAATAGCCACATATAACAAATTTGTGTACTAAATACAGGAAAGTCATGCAAATTTAGATTAGAGAAATTATTTATTAAAATTTAGGAAGAGTACCTAAATTTACATAAATGCAATTACAGAGTTAATCTAAAGCATCCCTAATTATTCAATTATTTTTAAACGCGTTACCTACCCTTTAATGACAGGCTTATTACATGCTGTTTAAGCACACAGATTAACTGTAATTTTTATCTTTAATTCGCAGTAATATCAATCTAAATTATATAGATTATGGAAGAAAATTGTTTATAATACAGTTAGAAAAACTTTTCGGCACTTCAAAATAAAACAAAATTACTTTTCAACAAATATTTTTTGGTGATCAGAAATCATGCAAAATGTGTAAAAATACTCTATATTTTTTTTAATTGGAAAATTCCTGTAAATCTAAAATAATAGAGGAAACGCGCTAACAATTAATTTAAACGCTTTTCTTTTTTTTTTAATTTTCGTATTGGAAAAATTTAAAAATAAACATGCATAAAAAACATAAAACAATAATTTTTTTGTCTTATTTTTTTAAAAAATATATATGAGTATAAATATTTTTTTTTGTTTGTTTTAAGTTTTTGGTAAAAAAAGAAAAACATGCAAAAATTGGAAAATTGCACAAGGAAAGCATGCACAAAAAACATCGAACAAATAGAAACAATTCTTTTTCTGCGACTAACCCATTTTGCATTAAGGAAAAACTTGTTTGTTTTCTTTCGTTGGGGGATGTGAGCAACGAGTTTGAGCGGGAAATCGAGGCTGGTACACGACACCCTTTCTGCTGCGCGATTTTCAGCCAACTGAAAATTTTACCCTGCACGGTGGTCGAACAACTTCAGCGCAAGCAAGAAGCTCGATCCATCGACGTTTTATTTGACAGATAGGCTTAAGGAAATGAACGATTTTTCACACGGCCGCCGATAGCGCCGCTTTGTTTTCACTTTAACGGCTTTTAAAGCCAGATGGCTCAGACTTTTCACCAACACCATCGGCTTGCTAACTATCAAAATATAAATCATATTTAGAGATGGGGTTTTTAACGTTTTAACCATCATCAAAAATAGCAAAATAAAAACACTAAATCACCACAATACACCAAAACACTTTTACTTTTACATTGGACGCGCGTTTCGCTAACCATGTTAGCATCATCAGCAGATGATTATAAACTAAAGTACAATCTACAAGTTGAGCGTTTATATACACGCTCAGTGGGCAACGAGTGGGCGTGGCAAAATCTAGCCAACCGTGTCAGAGCCAACTGAGCGTAACAGTTAGATTTCCGCCACTAGAGTAGTAGGAACAAAGAACTTGAAGGAATTGGACCGTTGACTATGTTCTTACTATCTTTGCATTTATTAATTCTGATGCTTTCCTTATGCATCTAATTGCCTACTAATTTGAGACTTGTTTAATTAATTTTAAATTATTAAAGATCTATACAATATTCATTATCAACCAATATGTTCGGCAACGCAAGTTTATCCGGTCTACCGTATCTGAGCTAAATGTTCTTTAAATCCTGAGTTAATATTGATCTTCCTGGTTGCCCAACATACCCGATCTTTTTCCAGTGGAGGTGTTTTATCCTTTGGATTACCTAATTATTTGTTGCTTAATTTATTATTCATACTTTAGTTTAATAATTGATTGATTCTTAAAATTCCTTTTTTATTCACGGGACAGAATCTCTATCTTTCGACATATTCGAGAATATCGTTTTAGATCAATATTAGACTTTAGCTCACTTGAAAGTCGACTTCAGAAATCATTAACCCATACCTGTTGATAAATTCAATTAGAAAACGTAGGTATAGGTTAATGATTTCTGAAAATTCGACTTTTCAAGTGGAGAAAGATACGTCTAAATATTTTTCGATACCGTTTGATAGAGAGTTATTCCGTGGTCTAAAAGGAATTTTTAAGAATGTCAATTATAAACTTGTGTATAGTGCTAATAATAAATTACAATAATTATTAGGTAATCCAAAGAATAAAACACCTCCACTGGAAAGGTCGGGTATTTATGAAATTTCTTGTAAAGATTGTAATCAGAAATATGTTAGGCAAACTAGAAGATCAATATTAACTAGATTTAAAGAACATTTAGCTCAGATAAGATATGGTAGACCGGATAAATCTTGCGTTGCGGAACATATTGTTGATAAAGAACATTGTATAGATCTTAATAATTTAAGATTAATTAAACAAGTCTCAAATTACAGGCAATTAGATGCATATGAAAGCATCAGAATTAATAAATGTAAAGATAGTATGAACAGAGACAACGGTCCAATTCCTTCAAGTTCTTTGTTCCTACTACTCTAGTGGCGGAAATCTAACTGTTACGCTCAGTTGGCTCTGACACGGTTGGCTAGATTTTGCCACGCCCACTCGTTGCCCACTGAGCGTGTATATAAACGCTCAACTTGTAGATTGTACTTTAGTTTATAATCATCTGCTGATGATGCTAACATGGTTAGCGAAACGCGCGTCCAGTGTAAAAGTAAAAGTGTTTTGGTGTATTGTGGTGATTTAGTGTTTTTATTTTGCTGTGTAACACCAAAGGTTCCAACCCTCAACTGTAATCAAAAATAGCTCAAAAAGGGCAAAAGAAATTAATTTTCTCACAAAACGGAGCCTCTAAGGGTGAATATATTCTGAATCAACATTAAATTTCCTACCAATACTGATATTTTCATAATATTACGATTATGTTTACTATCTTTCTAAGACCTTTGAAAATTAGTAAAAAATAGCCAAAAATGAGGATGTTTTCAAATTTTTTCCATACATATAGTCATGAAAATTGGCTGAGGAAAATCGCCAGTTTTCATGGCTGTATGTATGGAAAAAAATCGAAAACACGCTAATTTTTCGCTATTCTTTACCAATTTTGTCACCGATTCTATTAAAACTGTTGTTATTGACTAAGTAAAAGACGTATAATAAGAAAATATAGGTTATTGTACCCTTATGAGAGTAGTAATGGATGTAAGGGAGGTTATAAGATTTTTTGGTTTGACTATTTTCGTCATGTCACCGATTTTGTTAAAACTGCCGTTATACTGTATATTTTCATAATTTTAGGACTATGATTACTATATTTTTAAGCCCCGTGACAATAGGTAAAAATCAGCCAAATATTGCTCTAATAACTGCTGTTATTTGCTAATTAAAGTAATGTAAAAGTAAAGATTTCAGTTAGCGTCTCCTTTTTGCTGCCAGGGCTAATCTGTAAGGGGCCTACTTTGTTTACGCGGAATCCGAACCGCGGTCCTCGGCCATATCATGGTCAATGGCCTACCGATCTCATCCGGCTTCGAACCGGCGTGAATGAGCAGTGTGTGTCAATACATTTGACACTTTTGCCTTTTTGGGACAACAGCACGATACAGAGTTTTGAACCGGTCACCCGTCCATCCAGTGGCATCGCCTTCCGTCGCTTGACTTCGGGGTTCTAATGGGAACCGGTGTTTCGATGTAGCTGGGCCGTTGCCTTGCTAATTAAAAGGCGTAGAATAAGTAAATATAGGCCAGTGGAGTCTTACGAGAATAGTAATGGATATAAGGGACGTTTTAATCATTATCAAAAATAGCCCAAAAACAAGGATCCAAAAAATATTTTTTTTCACAAAGCCATGGTACCTAAGCCTTCAGAGGTGTATATATTCTGAATCTACATAATATTTCCTACAAATACTGAAACTTTCATAATTTTATGACTATGTGTACTATATTTCTAGGCCTTTGAAAATATGACAAAAACAGCCAAAAATTGGCATTATTCCACTTCCATACATATATTCGTCAGATATATTCAATTTCCGTCACATATATTCAATTTCCATACATATATTCATGAAAATTGTCGATTTTCGGCATGTCACCGATTAAAATTGCTGTTATTTACTAATTAAAAGGTGTAGAATAACACAATATAGGCCATTGCAGCCTTATAAAACAGTAATAGATGTAGGGGACGCGTTTTAACTATCATCAAAAATAGCCTAAAAACAAGGGTTCAAGAAATTAATTTTCTTACAAAATCAAGGTACCTTAGCCATTATTTTTTTTTTAATGGTTTACATGAATTCCTTTTTGAGTTATGAGAGATACAAAAATACTAAATTAACAGAAAACTTAAAATAATCCGGTCCTGGCCCAAAAAACAACAATCACGAACTATGTCATTATATAAACAAATCTGTCAAATCTACATATCTGTCAAAAATATGGAGAATATTCGTCGAGAATATAATAAAAATTATATTCTCCATGAAAAGTTACAAAGAGTACACTGTAAACATAATTTAATCTGCAATAAAATCAAATACTTAAACGTAAACACACTGCTTCAAAAGAAAAATAATTTATTAAACACTAAACACAATTCACAAAATCAAGTACGTGTTATTTACAACAAGGAGAAATGGGAAAAATACCCTACATTCTCTACCCACTTAAATCGTTCTTGATATTTAGAATATTTAAATGATTTAAAATTATGCTTCTTCAAAATTCACAAAGCAGTGGTACGCAGTTTCTTGAGTATTTCTCCAAGCATTCATTTTTCGACTATTTCTCCAAGCATATTTCTTCTTCCGCTTGTAACAGAACACCCAATTCATTTTCATTCTTTATTTTTCGATGATGTCTATCTGTATTATTCTTCTTTTTATATTAACAATCTTTACTAACTTTAACTTTTTTGCTTAAGAATAGGCCTACTACTTTTGAATACTTGAATCTTGAAAAATGGATTATACTCGGAATACTTGACGAGATCAAAGTTAACTGGAACCTGTACAAGTAGCCTTTAAAGAAGTATGATAAATTACACAAAATGTTATTAATTAGATGTGGTCAAATTCTAAAAATTAGTATGTCGATGGTTTCGATAGCGTAATTCAAAATCTACAGCGCTTGCCAGGCCTTGTTTCTGTGTCTATCAGTCCGTCTAATAAAATGATAAACATGTCCATTTATTTCTTCCTTCTATCCATGGCTTATATTTGGACGACCGCTGAAAAAATATCTAGGACATCCATCCAGAAAAGGCTTGAAGGGTTTCTTTAAAGACTTTACCTCAGAAGTTGACTCGGAAGACAAATATTGAGAGATGATTTGGCGAATATATTGATATATTGTTTGGCAAATATAATAATATCAATGAATTTGGTAATATTTTCAGGCGATAATTTGTATTAGCATCATTACCAACTACTAATCCTAAAATTCTCTAAGACAATATTGTATAATATTTCAATCATTGTTAGTCGCTCCGTATAATAAAGGAAAATGTGATTTAGAAGAAAGGCCTATTTATTTTTAAACTCGCGTAATTTTATATAGTATCGTATTTCGAAAAATAGTGATAAAACACGTTCGGTTTGATATTAAAGTGGAGCCATAACAGCGGATCTTAAAAATTTTGTTTGGTATGCAGCGCCAGGCGCCTGCTGACTGCATAAGAATCGTAACTATTTTTATAAAATATCTAGTGTGGGTCAGTTTTGCAATGTCACGTTCAACGATGATAAAACAATTTGCCGATGACCGTCATAAAGGATTACGGTGACATATATAATTTCTACTACTCGGAATCAAACGTGCAGATTTTTCTAGAAAGCTTCCTTCCCTAAAGCCCCGTCTACACATAACATTTTACCTGTCAGTCTTGCCTGAAGATTATAAACAATAAAACAATAGCCAAAAATGGACATTCATGAAAATTGGCGATTTTCGTCATGTCATCGATTTTGTTAAAACTGCTTTTATGTGCTAATT